CATTTTTTTGGTTTTGAAGCTCAACTATAAATTTAAAATTTCATTATAGTTCATTTTGTGTTAACATGTGTTTGTAGTAGGGAAGCACTATTCATATATCTTAGTTTGCTATGTTGCCAGAAGAAATATATTTTACACAAATTTGTGTGTTTATAATTAAGTATTTTCCTTATTACTTCCATCCTCATAAATACTCACTCCTTCAGTTCCAGAAATGAAGTTCCCCTCAGGAACATCTAGGTTACAGCCACAATTAAGGCCTAGCCTATGTATCATGTTGAATTATATCCCAGATACACCACCTGTGTATTTTGTCATGTCCCTGGGGTGTAAAATTTCTTAACACAGCGATTTTTCAAATTCTGAACATATTAGTAGCAGAATCCTTTCTTCAGACATTATTGGAAGCCCAAAAATATAAAATAAGAGGGGAGCTGCTCTGGTTAAAGTGAGATGCAGAGTTCTGATCCTCACCAATTCACTCTTTTCGCTGCTCCCTAAGGTGCTCTTCAAGTTGCTTCCCTAGGCATCTTCACGGATTCCTTAGGGTCCATGTGCCATGAAGAAAAGCAAATAGACTATGTCAGTGGTTCTCAAAGTGTGGTCCCACAACCAGAAGCATGAACACTACCTGGGAATGTGTTAGAAATGCAGATTCTCAAGTCCCGATCTCAGACTTACTGAATCAGACTCTGGGTGTGGACCCCGAAAGCAGTATGTTAATTCTCCCAGGTGTGTTGCTAGTAGGTGATGTTTGTCAGTTGGAGAGCTGCTAGAATAGAGTATCCCACTCTGGAGTTACTAGAAAACGGGCTAAAGTGTTGTGCAAGATTAGAATTTCTGGGTATTTAACACAATTTTCTCAGGAAGGCTGTCATCCATTAATCACTTTCTTGTACCTAAGTGAGATTATAGACTCTTTCGAGGTTCAATTTTGCAATGGCCTGAGTCCATTTGAATTCAGTGGGTCAGAAATCCCTGGGAAGAATGGGGATTCCTACTCTCAGTTCATTAGACAGAAATAATGAACTTTCTCCTAATTTGTTTGGACAAAAAAAGACTTGAGTTCCTAAACCTAAAAAATTATACTGAGCAAAAGTAGCCAGCCATAAAAGAGTACACATTAATTCCATTTCTAAGATAGATAGACAGGCAACACTCACCTACAGTGAGTCAGGATAGATGCTCTGTTTCTTGATCTGAATGCTGTTTACAGAAATGTATTTGTTTTGTAGAAATTCATCAAGTTATATATATGTGCACTTTTCCTACATACTTAATACAATTCAAGGCAAAAGTTTAAAATAGCACTGAGTCATCTGCAGGGAAAGGTAAGTGTGTAACGGTTGTGAGTTGCTGGAGTACACACTCAGAGGATCTAGGCCTTCTCTTCTGGGTGTGAAATGTACAGTTGGAGTAAATGCAGGTTCCTGGCATTTGGGTCTCTGCATAGAGACCATTCTGCTTCCTGATTGGAAGACTTTTTTTTTTTTGACCCAGGGTCTCACTTTGTAATTCAGACTGACTTTGAACTCACTACATAGCCCAAGCTGGCCTCAAACTCACAGTGATTCTCCTGCCTCAGCCTCCCAAGTGCTGGGATTAAGGCATACACTACCAAGCTTGCCTCTGGAAAAGACATTTTGATTTATGGCACCTCTGATCAAGATTCCCTGTGGAGAGTGAAGAGGTGAGGCAATTATCTATGTGACCTGTACAGCAGAGTCAACTTCAGTATCTGACTGGTCTAGGAAATGTATAATGGCAAGGGTCTAGAATTTCAACTGAGTTAGGCCAAGAAAACATGGGAAAGATGTGTAATGAGAGGCAGGACAGTACTCCATCTTTTGGTTCCTTATCCTGAGCTCTCTGGGTGGTTAAGACCCTCAGTTGTGAGCACACATCTTTTATCTCTGCTCTTCGAGGCCCTCAATATAAGTCTATATATATGAGGTATGATCAAGAAACACGGTGAAAGTTGACAGTAAAAGGCACACTGCCATAAATCCTCCTCAAAATGTTCCCCCTAACTTTGAAAACACTGATTTCATAATTCTTGTGATTTTCTGAAGCAATTCGGGAAGGCTTCTCTCCTGAATATCTTTTTTATTGTGCTGTCGTGGCTGCTTTGATGTCCTGAATCCTAAGAGCCAATGTCACAGGGCCAGCTTTGGAAAATAAAATTGATGAGGAGATACCGTGATGTTTTCATTGGACAGAAACTGCAGCAATCACTTTGAATAGATTCAGGACATTGAGGCAGCCACAAAAAGGCACTCACAAAAGAGGACTTCCAGAACTGCTTCAGAAAGCAGCAAGAGCTACAGGATAAATATGTTTGAAATGAGGGGGAGTATTTTGAAGAGGATTAATGGAAATGTGTCTTTTACAGAAATAAATGTTTTAAATTATTTAAACACTCATTATATTTTTTAATCACACTCTGTAAAATGAGTCTCTCGGCCTTACCAGCTTGTGGATATAGAAGGAGTTAGAGAATTAGCTTAAATTTCACTGCTTCTTGCCCCTATCTGCTCATATAAGAACTCCAGTCTGAGCGTAGAATAGTTGTATCAATTGTATCTGAAAACCCTTACCAATCTATTTTCACCATCGTTCTTATTTTGCCTTACTCTGGGTCTTATCTTTGTATGCGCTTTTAATGAAGCTCCTCAAGAAATAGTTACCCCTTTCCTCCTCCACCCACACCTCTGCTGCTCATGTGCCCATCAAGGAAATATTGCTGAAGGGGCCAGGGTTCTAGCTCCTGATTCCCCTAACGTTTCCAATGCGGGAGGTGCCTGGTCACACACCAGATATGCTCAAACGCGCATGAATCTCAGTGTGTGTTCATGGTTACACACACCTGCACAAAACATGATACCTGAGTCCCAGTGGTGTGATCTGAAAGCAAGCCCTCACCTGCTATTATACTCCCTGGCTCAATTCGGGGCTTGGTGAGTGGTAGGGACAAAGAGCTAGGTTTGAATGGCTCCCCTGCTGCTGAGGGAGAATCCTGTTTTCCAGTAGGTGGAGGTTCAGTCAGGAAGTGCCAGGCACAGCTACTCCCTCTGGTGGTCTGTGCGTTCCACCATCTGGAACAGGGAGGTCAGCTTCAGCCTTTCCAGCCATTCATTCATCTGTTGCTGAGTTCCTCTTAGAACAATTCTGAGTGCAGAGTATGTAAAGACAGCGTCTTATCGGACAAATCCAAAATGAGCAATGTTCTATTAAAAATGCGAATGCCATACAAGACAAAGAAAGGTTGTGGAAATGCTCCTGCTTAAAGGAGGCTAAAGGACACAATGACTAAATGCAGTACCTCACCATAGACCAGATCCTGTGATACAGGGGGGGAAATGCTGTAAAGGACATTTCTGGGTCAACAGACAAAATTGGAGTATGTATGGTAGATGCATAAAAGCATTGTACTAATGCTAATTTTTCCAAAGCCATACTGTGGTGATATAAGGAATATGCCTATTCTTAGGAAATGCCCATTAAAGTATTTCAGTATGAAGGGCCATGAAGTATGCAATTTATCCTCACAGGATCCAAACACAACAATGAAAGTACATATATGTAACGGATAAAGCAAATGGAGTAAAATGTTAATAACAGGTAAATCTGGGTAAAAGGTATAATGATGTTCTCGATATTATTTTTGTTTTTGTACCTTTCCTGTATGTTTGAATTTATTTCCAAATAAAAATGTTTTCAGATGTTAAAAAAGACAGTTGCTGTGCAAGTAGTCAGAATCTGGTGGCACATGACTAACTGAAGGAACTCTTCCTGTGGCAGACACGAGGAATGAGGACACTGCTGTGCATTCCCAGTGGGGCTATCAGACACATCCCAAGAGAAACCCAACACAAAGCTGCCAAGTGACATCTGAAGCCATCTGTCTCTTCATCTCCCCCATCCTACAAAATACCAAAACTCATAACTTTTCATATTTTTCTCCTAAGGATTATGGGCCCTGGGTATTGAAGAAATGTTGGTTATGAAAGGAAAGTGTCTGTGTGTTCATTCACTCACCCACCCATCCATTCACTCAGTAAACGTTTGCAGCACCTACTTACTATGTGCCAGGAACTGTACCAGGATTTGAGGATGCAGCTTAGGGTGCAAAAGGAGACACAACCCCTGCCCTTAAAAGGGCTTTGAGTTCGTTGGGAGGGCACCCACAACCACATCAATAAATCTGTATTTCCAAATGAGCTGACCACAAAATAGATGCGGGAAGCCATGGGGCACCCAGCCTTTTATCAGAGCCAGTGGATCTGATATACAATCATTTCCCTCCCAGGATTTTCTAGGTAATAGTTACTTTTGTACCTGATGCTGAGGAGAGGGTTCATAGTGCTTACCTCATCCTGAGCTCAACCCATCTGTTTCGGCTTAGCTCTCTGCAAACTGCTCTGCTCTCTGTCAGATCGGGGAAGAGGCCAACAAGCCTCAGTCAACATCTCTGGGCTGATGGACTAGTCAGCTTTGGAAAATAGTCTTTCTCCTGATCTACACCTGTAGGTAAATGTGAAAAATATATCCGTAATGTGTTTAGAAGGCAAAGACCACCAAATATCTTCATGTGGAAACCTAGTAGCCTACTAGCCATGAGAATCCCATCAATGGTGTGCTGAGTCACTGAAATGACACATTTTTCAAATGGACAGAATAATGACCTTTTGTGGACAGTTATGGCTACCCCCAAACCCCAATCCTGGGTATAACATCAACTGTGATGCTTTGTACACAGGGACAATAGTGGAGTCTATTACCCCAAGGCTCCAAGCAGACAGTATTGGGGAGACAGCCCTTAAGATTGTTTGTGTTCGTGTATGTGAGTGCATGTCACATGATGTCTTTCTGTCCCTGGGTCTCAGGTGGGACTGACCTTCACCTCCGATGCCCAGTCCAAAGAAAGTTCAGATTCAGATCCAACAAATGTTTACTGAGTCACTACAAAGTTCCAAGCCTTTTACTTTATACTTTGACACATTTTATATCATTTAAGGTTTAACAACAACTCTTTAAGGAAGGAATTATCTTCATTTTACAGATGAGAAAACAATCGCAGAGGTTCATTGATTTGCTCAAGTATATCATACAGCTTAAAAAAAAAACACTCACACACTACACTGTCAGCTGAGGCCTGTCTGTGTTGATTGCTTATCTTACAGCATTTTTTTGTCTGCTCTACTTCTGGAGCAACTGCTCCCCTTATACAAGCCCCCTTATTTCTTCTTTTACTAGCCCATGTGGGCTTTTCTTTAATACTGCATTTAATAGCACAAAAATCACAAATACAAAGAAACTGGCAAAGGTGTTTGCTAATGACTTATCCCTGCATCCTCCACTTCTCTGCTTTCATACCCACGTATGTAATGGGCTACATTTTTATGAACTTTTCTTTTTCCCCAAAACATATATCTGTTATGTGATTGGTCAATTGAAGTTGAAACACCCATGGAGAAAGATGTTTTACAGTTACAAGGGCACACCCCCCCACACCACCCCCCTCCCCCCACATCTTCCCACACAACCTTTTGGAGGAATATAGGATATGAACCAGTGTCATGATTTCCCTGTTCTGCCTTCCCACCAAGACCATTCCTGCTATTTAATTTTCTTTTAAGTGACTGCTTCAACTAGAGCCTCTTCTCCCTCCCCTTCTATTTCTCTTCCACTCAGGACCTTTAAGACACTGGGTATTGTTCAATTCTTACTCTGTCAGGCCCATGGGCCAAGGTCAAGTAGGTCCTTTAAATCTCGATGACAGTTGTAGTACAGGTGTCGTCATCTTCCGTTACAGGTACATGTGTGTCACTTCAGTAGGCTTGGGTATTCATTTCTTTCACCTTTTCTGACTCATGTTCCAGGACCTGTTTGTGATAGAATAGTAAATACCCCTCACTGTCCAGTACATCCTTAATACTGGCCTTGGTGATGACCGCATCATCACACTTGAACCACTGGTCCTTGTGGTGGCAGATGAAGCTGGTGTAGTGGCCACTCTCCAAGGTTCCTTGGTGATTAACCACAGCAAACAAGGAATACTTATTCTCATTGTTTCCACTATTGGTTGGCAGCTGCAACTGTCCATTCATTCTTTCTTTACTTGAGGCCATAAACGGTGTCATATCCAGCTCCAGAGGAAAGGAAATGTAGGTGGTGATCTTGCGCCTCTGTTTGGCTGAATGTTCAAATCGTTTGAAATGAAAACAGGCAACAACTGGTAATTTATTCATTGTGAGCTGTTTGGTAGATTCCTGGTAGCTTTGGCAACTACCACATTTGATTTTGGCACTACTTCCTAAGTGCTCTGGCCTTGTAAACCTCCGCAAGCAGTCTGTGAGAGTGGTGATGCCTGGTATGTGGCTTTCTCCATTCACACTGCTCTCCCTCCCTGGACTCATGGGCCAGAAAGAGGTGCAAGAGCCAGGCAAGTCCAAACTAATGTCCCAGCATGGGTCTATGGTAGTGGAGACGCCATGGCAAGCTTGACAGGTAACATCAGATTGCAGGCCACCTGTGAAAATTTGGTCTATGATGCAGTTACAGTGGTTGGGATTGTTGGCTGCCTTCCCAACATCATCACCTTTGCAGTGCCTGTGCAGGACATCTAACGCTGCGATGAGGAATTCATGGGCATCCTGCTGCCGGTACCCTGCTAAATGACGAGCATGTATCCACACCAGGTGCAGTAATTTATAGGGAACATGAGGAGATGGGTTTCCAGAATACAGCTCCCGAAACAGTGAAGACATCTCACAGACCAGACACAATTCAGGACTGGGCATTTCACATCGGTGCCGGTCAGAGAGAAAGAAATCTCTCAGGATCGGAGTGTGGGTCAGAGCCTGGACAATGCAGTTCATGAAACACGTGTTGCCGAGATTGATAAGTCCTCTTAAGCCAGTGGTAAAGCTGGAGGCAATTCTTCTTCTCCGTGGGTTATGCCCCAGCAGCTCTAACTCTGGTTTGGTGGTTTCCCACGTTGGATATTTCTCACCAAGGCCTGGCACTGCACACTGCTGGTGAGAAACCTCTGTTGAGGTGGAGGCTTGTAATTTCAAGGCTTCTCTTTGCTCTTCTTTGGCAATTTGCTCAATGTCTTTGTCATACACATAGTCCTTACACATAAAGCAGTAGATACCTCCATAGTAAAGGTCTACAGCTAAGTTGTGTTGTTTCGTCTCTGAGTGCTCATGAATGTGTTTCTCTGTGAAGCAGCCAAAGAAGACACAGGAAAGGCAAGAGTGGAGTCTGTTCAGATGGGTGCCACACACATGGCAGATGCACGACTTTGCCTTGTTTTTCCTGGTCTCTGGGGTTCCACACCAAACGAAGCACTGGTAGATGACCCTCAGTTCCTGTCTCCAGTTCTCTCCCAGCTTAAAGCTGTTCACGTGGGAACAACCTGGTGGCCCCACAGCAAAATCCACATCCAGGCATCCGCCCCCAGTGCCGCGCCGGGGCCGGG